GCTTCACTGAAGATAAAGTATGAAGAGACCAAGTCAGGCTGTTAATTATCTGCACTCCCAGATACTTAACACTATTGATCACCTCCACAGCTTCAGCTTTGATACAAAATGGTGTATGACTATGCTGGTTCTTTTTAAAACAAACAATGATCTCCTTTGTTTTGTTAACATTCAAGACCAGGTTATTTTAATTGCACTGGTCCACCAAAGCCTTCACCTCCTCCCTATAAGAATCTTCATTGCCATCCTGGATAAGACCCACCACTGCTGTGTCATCCACATACTTCACAATATGTTTCGTAACAAACTTGGCACAGCAGTCATGGGTCATCAAGGTGAACAGTAATGGACTCAAGACATAGCACTGTGGGGAACGCATACTCAAGGAGATGGAATTGGAAACGTTTCTTCCAGCTCACACAAACTGGGGCCTATCAATAAGGAAATCAAGTATTCAGTTACATAAAGAAGTATTAAAACCTAATAGACACAGTTCGTTCACCAAATGCTGAGGAATAATTATGTTGAACACTGAACTAAAATCAACAAACAGCATTTGCACATGAGTATACTTCTCCTCCAGGTGCACCAAACTAAAATGAAGTACACAAAAAAGTATTTTGATATGTAGGCTCTATAGTAGATCATGTGAATAAACAGAACACGAGAAGAACTTATTTGTTCCAAGAATCTGTGCTAATGTGATACCTCTTATATAAGACAAGGACCTTCCATCTGGATTCAATTCTGATTAGGGATTCATTAATTTACAAAGCAATCTTTTTATTTCTTGTGAGTAACAAGTGCAAAAGTATTTCATCAAGATAGAGCTCTTGGTCTTGTGAAATGCTGAAACAAATCAAAATTTATAGAATATGTTAAACAAGATATGTATTATAATTCATGTTAGTTAAGTTTATAGAATAATGTAAATGTTTATAACATTATTATTTCATGTATCACATTATTTCATGTATGAATCCAGCTTGGATGCACGTCGATACTATCAAGTCAAGCAAAGATGGTCTTGATTAATATAAGAATTGGAAATTATGAGGAAATCTCAGGAGTATAGCTTTCTGTAGCTATACCAGAAAGTCCAAAAACAAAATAAAATCATCCTGGGAGAAGATAATAGCAAACTATTTTTAAGTTTGTTGCCAAAAACAGTATATGCAAGAAGTAATGAAAACAGAATTAAAGAAAATGTCAGTGCTTTAGATTTTTGATCTGCTAACAAAGCATAGGTAGGAATAGAATAGTTATTTTAATCTTGCTTTTGTTTATATAATATAATATAATTCTTTATTGACTAAATGTGATTGAACACACAAGGAATTTGTCTTTGGTGCATATGCTCTCAGTGTACATAAAAAGACAAGATACATTCATCAAGAATCAGAAGTTATAACATTTAATGATAGCCATAGGGTACAAATAAGCAATCAAATCATACCAGGAAACAATCAATATAAATCGTAAGGGTACAAGCAACAAAGTTACAGTCATGCAGTCATAAGTGGGATGAGATGGGTGATAGGAACGATGAGAAGACTAATAGTAATAGTAGTGCAGACTTAGTGAATAGTTTGACAGTGTTGAGGGAATTATTTGTTTAGCAGAGTGATGGCATTCGGGGAAAAACTGTTCTTGTATCTAGTTGATACATTCATGACTGAATATTCCTTTCTCCTGAATGGATTATTTATATACCTACATAGTTTCAATTATTGTTTTTATGTTATAAGAGCTTTTAATTTTTTTGCTGTAATTATTTCCAGATGTATCTTTTTTATTTTTATATTATGCAGTAAGATAATAAACCATGGACCAATCTTACTGGCAAATATCCATGAATGTTATCATAGTGTCCAAGAATATAACTTTATTTATTAAAATTGGAGTATTGGGAGGGGGGGTTGTTGGAGATAAACTGCTGTCATTTCCTCAGTACCTGAAGAATATTGCAAGACCTGTCTAGGCTGCTGTTATTATAAATTGCTTTCTGAATCAACTCCTCCTCGCTTTCTGAAAATTCTTCATTTAGTATTCTTTGATTGAGATATAGTATATACAGTGGTAGGATTCAAATAATTTAACAACCGGTTCTCTCCCCTAATGATTTCTTCCAACAACCAGTTTGCCAAACTGCTCAGAAAGTTAACAACCGGTTCTCCCGAAGTGGTGTGAACTGGCTGAATCCCACCACTGAGTATATAGTCTTACTTTTGATTCTAATGACTGTTCATACTTCTTTTGATTTGCTCAGGAACCATGTATGAATGGCTTATATACAATTTTATTTATTTGTTTATTAAATATATATGTTGCCCATCTCACTGTCACACAACTCTGGAATTAAGATGCTGATGCAGAGTCCTTGTTTCTTTATGTCTCTTGATGCAAGAGAGCAATATATTTCTATTAGAAGTTTAATTGACTTGATGAAGATATTTATATAGGGGCCATTAGTGAGAAACATTTATACTCGTATAGATTGCCATAAAGTTTAATTTTTATTAATACAGTACTATTACAATACTTAGCTACAATCAGGAATTTGTTACTCTTTCAGTTAAAATACTATTCCATTTAGAAAATTAAAATTGTAGAACAAAATCTGAATGCAATTATAAGCATACTCTTGAAAAATAGTAACTTGTGTTCATAAAGAAAATCTCACTTTGTAGTCCCTAAGAGCTGACAATATTTATAGCAGATAATTAACACTTTTGAAATGGTTGTCATCAATTCATATTTACTTAATTGCAGTGATAAAGTGAAGATGGACTTGACCATTTTAAGTATGAAATTAAAAACAAGGTGTTGCGGTGTTCATTTCAAAAACACATATTTACTTCCAAAATGTTAGGCTTACTGCTAAAGCAAATTAGATATTCCCTGCTCATATTATCCTTGTTGTAATAAAAATTATGGCAAATATAGGACTGTATTCTACAATTCTGCTTGTTCTGTAACTTTAAGAAAGGTATAAAAGATGTTATGTTTGTTGTAAAGAAAACAGTTTAAGACATTCCTTCCCAGAAAGAAATATTGCATACTACTCTCTTCCCTCATCTGCTTTCATTACCATGCTTCAGTACCTTATGATTACACTCATTTTATAACAATAATTAATTTGGGAACTAATCTAAGTCTTCCTTTCAGGTAAATACTCTTAAATTGAAATAGCAGTAGACATTGAAGATTGTAGTATCTTGTACATTTACTCAGATTTAATCTTTCTGTTGCTCAAACAGGACGTCTGCTTTGTGATATTTAACAAAACAAGAAGCATCTCCCATATATTCAAACTGTCATGAATAATTGATTAATAATAATCCAGTTCTCAAGATTAAATAGCCTATTATATGCTGATGTTTTACAGATAGAAAGGTCACTGCCATCCATCACTTCAGCTTCAAATTTATCCTCTTTTTCATTAAACATATACCTTTTTTTCCCCCCTGAAAAGGCATGTTTTCATCCATATGGGAAGAAGAAAAACTTATGATGGACATGTTTTACTATCTTATAAGTTTACTCTTCAGTAAGAGGAGAAATTTAAACTATCTAGATATGTCAAAAATGAATGCCTTTAAAGGTAAAGCATGACATTTTAAAAATTCAAATTCTCTATGGTACTTGAGAAATTGAAGTGGCTATTTTTGCAGAGTCCCCATTTGCAAGAATTAGTGAATTGTCTTCTGAGAGGTAATCATTTAAGGTGGCTTCACATGATCATCTTTTATCATATGATGATTACAAATATGCTAGTGAAATCTCTATTGCAAATCAGCTCTTACTATTAGAGATTCCTTATTGGGACAGTTGACCGAGGCCTCACTAAAAGCTAATTTGTGCTGAAGTTTTTCCAATCAGACAAAATGATAGTTAGCAGGAAGTGATTTTAATCATGCATGGGATTTTCATTCATAGACAATGTGATATTTTGAAAGTGACTTTAATTTGTAAATCAATACATGAATGAAAAAGCACTATTAGCATATTTCAGTGATGTACTTTTATATCAGTCATTATTTCAATAAGCTCTTCCACATACAGGGTAATCTTAAATCTGAGAAGAGGCAAGGATTCCAAAGGGATTTCCCCAAAAGTAGTGATTATAAAGTAGATTAAATTTTATTACAGGGAATGTATTACATAAGCAAAATAACTTTTGTTTCTTGGATAAGATTTGATGTTTTTATCTTGTTTTTATGTTTTACTTAACTAAAATTTGCAATACTGGCTTGGAATAAGCCCCAGCAAGCAAACTGAAATTTTATTTGGTAAAGCATGCATAAAATTATGCTATGTGTGTGGTAATTGGTCATTATTTGTTTTTTAATAACATGACACATTTACATCACATTTTGATGAAAACAAGATAAAAATACAAAATATGAAATCTAAAATATTGTAAACATATGTCTAGTTTACAGATATATTTTTTTCTGCTTCATTTGTCACAGCCAGGAAATCAGCAAAGCTCCATTATAGGCTCTGTTTTGACACTTCATCACTATATGTTGGATAGTTTGTTTTTTGGCCCTGCAGTAACAATTCAGTAATGGTATTTTGCTCCACTTATAGAGGGCATCTGCACATTTACTGTGCTTCCCCGAAAATAAGACCCGGTCTTATTTTCTTTTAAGCTTGAAAATAAGCACTCAGGCTTACTTTCAGGGAGGTCTTATTTTTTTTTGATGCGCAGGAGGCAAATGCGGTCACCTCATGGTGGCTCAGAGCCTTAATTGTGGCCCACGGATCAGCTGAGCCAGCGAGGTCCAGGAGCTGCCCCTTGTTCTGTGTCTCTGGGCACCTGGAGGTGTTTCCAGCACACTCCTGCCATCTCCCACCCTATCCGTGGTGCCAAGCAACCTCGCAGCCAAGGGCCCCGCTCTCCCGGAGCTCACCTTGTGGCTCTGGAGTGGCGGTGACCACGGTTTGCACTCCACCAGGCCTGGAGCTCGGGTCTTGATCAGGCTGCTGCTATGATGAGGCAGAATGCCATGTGGTGTTTCAGAATCAGCTTCCCCCGCCTCTCCCCGGCTGCTGGGCCTGCTGCACCTGCTGCTGCTGGCTTCATCACCCTCCTGGCTGCACTGCACTCAGGAGCCCTGCTGGGTTGCTCCTGCCTAGCATGGGGTCCTGGCAGGCCCAGATCTCTGGAGCACGTCCCCTGCCAGGCCCCCTTTGCCAGCGGTCGCGCTGCATTGTGCGAGCTCCATGCAGTGAGATGAAGAAAGGGGGAGATTACCCCTTCTTCCTTTGCATCCCAAAACCATGTCTTCCCTGGCCGCCAAGCCCCCAGTCTGCATCCCACTCACTGGAGCAAGACGCGCAACTCAATATTACCTGCAGAGGTCTCCCAGTGCAACGTTCTGCCTCAGCTTGGGAGCAAACCTCTGCCTTCCCTGTGCAGGATTGCAAGGCTGAAGGTTTTGGATGGAGCCTTTTGGGGATGTGCATCTGTGCTAGTCTCAAAGGACGATCGGCAGGAAAATCCCTTCCCCCCCCATTTTTTTGTTGATCGCATATCTCAGGGAAGGCAGAGGTTTGCTCCCAAGCTGAGGCCGAGCATTGCACTGGGAGGCAACGTAGCAGCAACCTGACCAAGACCCGAGCTCCAGGCCTGGCGGAGCACAAACCGTGGTCGCCGCCTGCTCTAGAGCCACAAGGTGAGCTGCAGAAGAGAGGGGCCCTTGGCTGCGAGATTGCCTGGCGCCACGGGCAGGGCTGGGGCTGGCAAGAGTGCAGTGGAAACACTTCCAGGTGCCCAGAGAGACAGAATGAGAGGCAGCTCCTGGCCCTCACTGGCTCAGTTGATACATTTCTGTTGCGCATTTTAAAAATCTTGTGAAAAATACTGCTAAAGTCTGTGTTTAATTGGAATTCCAATGCTTTTGTTGTGTTGTTAGTTGTATAATATATAAGAAATAAGAAACTGCCCACACTGTACTTTAAATAATGAGTAAGCTGACATTGTAGTAGCCTGCAATTTTCTGTGGTAATGATATATTCAATTATCCATATTTAGCATTTGAAATATAAAAGTAGATGTAAAAACTGTGAGCCACAGGGACTTCCTGTCTGGCTTCTGTCGCCGCCAGACGGTCCTCCGTGACCGCCAGCCCTGTTGCCTGTAAAGAGCCGCCTTTACATCTGAAAGGCAGCTCAAAAAACTCCATTTCCTGATGGAAATGTGAGTCAGAGCAGGTGAGGGTAGGTAGAGCCCTCTGTGAAGTCCCCAGAGTTTTTTTTTTGCTCTTGGGGACGAGCAGAGCGGGGCTCTCTATTTTCCCTCACCGATGCTCCGGGCTTCGGGAGGACTCTGCTTTTTTTTTTGCAGAGCTAGGCGCCGGGACTGGATCAATTAATAAAATAACAGATGGTTTAATTGAAGAGAGTGAGATTTGTACCTGGGACCCTAATCGCAAGTATTTTTAATGATTTTACAAGTGTTTCTATTTGAACGGAAAAAATAAGTTTAAAATGGCGACTGCTGAGGCCTGAGAAAGCCGAAAGTGAAAGTCCTTCCGTAATAAACTACACAGTAGCGAAATATACAGTGCCGGCTAGACTAGAAGGAAAATATCCATTTTAAGTTTTTCTTTTCTTGGAGATCTGTATTTGATCTTGTTTGGGGAAAAGTTTTCTTTTAAAAAAAAGAGCTTTTTTGTGTGGCAGGATGGCGTTAAAGTTAATGAAGCCTGACAGACAAGCAGTGGGGGGGGGGTGCTCCCTCATCCACAATTATCTGAACAAGCTCTGAGCCTACAGACTTTGCAGAATGGTTTTAATTTAAAAGAATTTCTTCAGGAGGAAATGGCAAAATATCATGAGACTGTGAACCAGAAATTTGAAAAAATTAAGGCAGGAAATTAAAGAAATGATACAACTAAAGTATGATAATCTGCAACGAAAGATTGTAACAGTGACTAATGCTTTTTCAGAAGTTGTTATAAAAATGGATACAAATATCAAATTATTAGAGTCTAAAATGGAGGAAGTTGATGATAAGATTTATAATTTGGACAATAAAATACAAAGAATTGAAAATGATTTGATAAATATTCAAGACAATAGTTTAGAAGTAAAGTCTAAAAAGGAAGCTGGTCACGAGACTTACAATGCAGAAGATATAAAGCAAGGGATTGAAAGAGAAGTTGTAATGATGCAATACAGGCTCACAGAATTTGCGGTCAGAATGAGAGGGTTACAGGAAAATAACAGAGATGATCTAAGAAAAATATCTGCTCAAGTTCTGGCTGGGATTTTAAAGGTTCATCCTGAGGAGGTATCTTGTAAAATTGACAAGGCCTATAGAATAAATTCTTGGATTGCAAAGCAAAGGCAACTGCCTAGAGATGTAGTGATTTACTTTACAGATAAAGAAATAAGAAATGATATTGTGCAAAAATCCTTTAATTCTACTCCACAACTGTATGGGAGAAAAATCCGGATATATAAAGAACTGCCGCCTAAGATGTTAAAAGATAGAAAGAAATTTGGACTCTTGGTGACTGAGCTAAAAAAACAAAATATTTTATTCAGGTGGGATGTTCCAGTGGGTATAATATTGAGATATCAAGGAGAAAGATATCAGTTAAATACTGTTGAAAAAGCGGAAGAATTTTACTACAAGGTCCTTAAAAAGCAAAATCAACAAGAGATAGAAATTCAAGAAAAGCAGAAGGAGATGCAAGTAATGAAGAAACAACAAGTTACAGAGGTCTCTACAGATGAACCGCTTTTGGATTCTCTCTCAGAGGTCTCAGCTGGACTACTTAATACAAGAGAGGCGGTTCCGGATTCTAATGTAACGACTTATCAAGTCACAAACCAGCATGGAAATCAATCAGTTGATATACAATTTATAGAACCAGAAAGATTTAAGCCACAAAAGCAAAACCAACAAGATCAAGTTATAGATCAGCATGAAAAACAAATAGTCGATATACAATTTACAGAAAGGAATTCAGGATGGAGATCCAACCCACAAAAAGTCAAGAAAAGAAGAAGCAGGTCTCACAAAAACAAAAACTTTTAAACTAAACAACAGTGTAATGCCAGTTATTTAAGAGGTGATTGAATATATGAAAAGATAATTGGCAAAGTATTGGTTTATTTTATCCTGAGGAGAGTGACAGACCTCTGCAGTGCTGTACTTTTGGGATGTGAAAAGGGCCTTAAATTGAATGGATTGGAACTATTATTTTTTTTCCGGATTCTTTGATAAATATACTACGTTTATGCTGAGTTACAAGGCAAGAGAGTCATGGGATTGGGGCACGCAGAAGATCTGGTTGTTACCCTATTACGGTGGTTGGAATTAATAATTTGGATAAAAGACACTTCTACAGACACTATATGGAATACAAATATAAAGTCACTCGGGTGGTTGTTGTTTTTTTTTTTTAATATGAAGATATTTGCTATTGATGGGGGCAGATGGTAATTGAAGATACTGAACATACTGTTGGAATTAGGATGTGATGTTACCCTAACATGGGTGATGGAGTTTACAATCCAGCTGAAAGACATTACAGAAGATATTATATGGATTACAAGCCTAAAGTCTTTTTAAGAGGATTTTATTTACATAAGGAAATATTTTTTAGGGGAGTGAGCAGAAGAATAAAGATATTAAGATTTCTTAAGTATGGTAGTCTTGTAGGAAAGTGGGTGGAGACAGGTTAGTTTATTGATTGTTTAGTTTAAGAAAAGGGATATTATGTTTAGATATGAATATATGTAAAAGATTTGAGTTAAGAGATATAACGATGAGGGTGAAGGAAATGGGTAGACTATGAACTGAATAAATGTTAAATTAGGATTTATTATATAGTTTTATAGTGGAAGGTTGTTTTGAAATGTTAGATTAATATACATAAAAGATTTGATTTATTATTATGCTAAATTAGAAGTTATTATATAATGTTATAGTAGAATGTCATTTTGAAATGTATAGTATAAGGGGGATATGATAATTTTATTAGAAATAAAGGGTCAGTATATGGGGATGGAGTAAGGGGATGGTAAAGTATTATATAATCTGTTATGAATTTGGGTTTTATTATGAAGAAGTCATAGGGGAGGGGAGGGGGAGGGGGTTAGGGAGGAGGGGGGGAAAAGGGGGGGAATTTGTATTTGAAAAACTTTTTCAATAAAAAAAAAACTGTGAGCCACAGGATATGCCCCTACTACCTCCTGGTTAATAAAACATTAGCCATCTCTAGAATAAGGAAAAGATCAACACAAAATATTTAAACAAAAAATGAGTTGTAATATTTCTAAATGCCTCCAGACTTATAATTCTTATATTCAGATGTAAATATGGGAGATACATTGTATGAAATAAATTTCATCTACGCTAATATAGGAAGTTTGCAAATTGATTTCTTTTACAGTAGTTATGGAAGACACAGCATTTACTAGAAAACCTGTATTCCAACAGCAAGTAATAACTACTGCTAATGAATGCTAAAATTGTTGGATAGTTGTACTTATTTCATATGCTAATAAGAGACCCTCAAGATTTTGCACCCAGAGTTAAACAATACATTCAACAAAACTACCACAGGAACAAGTTGGTTTCAGGAGAAGCAGAGGCACCAAAATCACATTGTACAAGTACACAATTACTAACAGAAAAGGCAAGAATTCCCCAAAATATTTTTGCTTTATCAGTTATTAAAAACTAAATTTTTTGTTTGTGTAGACCTATACAAATTATGGATAGCCTTTAAAAGTCATCTCCATCTTGAAGAATTTGAATGCTGATTAGGAAGCGACAATTTAGAACAGAATATGGATTAACTAAGAAAGTAGTTCTTTAGCTCAAAAATCCACTTGTGATTGACAAACGAGTCCCTAACACGACGAATGACACCAGACCCACACTCACGAGTGCCACACCTGATGTCACCATCACACATCCACGCAGAAAGCAGACTCAAACCCACACTGATAATGAGCCACGACCAAGGACCAGAAGCCAGACCGCAGCTGCATCATTAGCCACTTTAAACCCCTCCAATCCATACATGAAGCAGACTGACACTCACCATGAAGAGCTCGCACGGCCACAAACACGAAGCCAAACAACAACAACGCAGCTCACCAGCTCAAATCCCCCTGCAACTCAGACTAAGCTGAGCACAACCAAGCCCCCACCCAAACAGAACACACCCCCAGCCAATCAGAGCACAGCCAAGCCCCTAACCAATCAGAACACACCTCCACCCAATCAGAACACAGCCAAGTTCCCACCCAATCAGCTCACACCCCCACTAGCAGTTAAAAGGAAGAGACAGCTGCAATCTCACATTGCTCCTGGAAGCACGAAGCCGAGAACACCAGCCTGAGACACTGGAACAAGACTACACTAATTTTTCTTGATATTTCTGGAAAAAGCAGTGTTCAACTTTTAACTGAAGAAACTTGTCATCTCTAAATTGTTGCATACATATTACAGAATGCCTTAGTTCTTCAAAAATATTGAAGATCAAAGAAAATAGTCTAAATATATTGGTTCCCATTCAGTTAATTCCATAAGATAAGGACTTTTGAGTACCCTGCCCTCAGCTATATTGAAACTATGTGAGCAGAATAGAGATTTATATCTTGTCTGAACTGAAAGGAGGAACAGAATTTTAACTTGGAAAAAAATTGCATG